CAGCCATTTTCGCCCTATCGTAGAGAATTTGACGGCGGGGAGGAAGTAAGGAAGAAAGATTAAGGGTGACCCTATTGTATTGAATTGGATGTGAGAGCAAGGGAAACAATGTTATTGAGTTAGCACAAGCTAGTCTAAATTAGCTAGCTTAGTATGTGCAGTAGTGCACAAGCGTGAGACCTAGTCTTGTCATGGATGGGGAGTTGGAAGGGCTTATATAAGCAGGGGATTGGTTATAATATTGTTGATAATCGACAGAAAGAATATTACCAAACTTTGCTAGAATTAATGCCCACAAGATTGAGTAATTAATTGATATTAAAATGGAATTGGGCTTTATGGCAAGGAATGTGCATAAAGAAATTGGTGGACCAGACGTGGCTTTGGATTTTCTTTATGTTTGGAAAGGAGATAGGTGCGGGTGCAGGCTATATTACATAATATGTTGGGTTGTGTGGCTCATCATGACTTGAGTAACTATCAGTTATCACTTATTATGAGTTCCTCGTCAGCTTTAAGACAAAACGTACACTAAAGTACGGTAATGTGAAATTAAGATATGCATATCAAAGAGAAATTAACTCCGAACCGACTTTGTTATCTGTGATTTTTAGATACGACGTAAAGTTTAGTTAGTAAACTTAATCTAAACAATACGTTGCGCGTATACGCGGAAGCGGGCTCGCACACCGAACGAATCTGTGATCACGGGAGAAGAGAACCAACCACACACGAGCACAATTCAACCAAAATACGACAAATCAAACCAAACACATAGATATACATGGTTCGACAATTTACCTCCATCCACGGGGAGAGGATGAGGAGATTCCACTAAATCAAGGAGAGTACAAAGGGTTACAATCTCACAAAATCGAGATTCCACTAAATCAAGGAGAGTACAAAGGGTTACAATCTCACAAAATCACTCACACAAACCCTAAACCAAATCTCTCAACTTGCTCACAAGTTCTCCCTCTCAATATGCTCAGTACAATCTGAAATCTCTGATAAAAACCCTAGAAAATCGTGTTTCAATTTATATCAAAACACAAACCCAATGCGAACAGGAAACCAAACTCGGGCCCAGCCTGACTCGCGGTCGACCGCAGAGACACGTACGGTCGACTAGACAGAACGACAGAGACTAAAAAATATTACAGGGTTTGGCCGGTCGACCGGCGCGCCAAACGCGGTCGGTCCCGAAAAGTCCAGAGACTTTTCCAGCTTGCGTGCACGTTTGCGGTCGACCTCCACGCCACTCGCGGTCGACCGCTGGAAGTCCAAACATGTTTTCTGTCGTTTTTCATGTATTCTCTTCAATTCTCCACCTCGGTGAAGTTTTCCCAAAACTGAGCCGACACCAAATGAAGAACATCAATACGTCGTCTCTCCAAAATCGGCTGCACCAATATGGTTGCATACGTACCCTCTCTCCCAAGGGATCAAGCCACTCGTAGTTCATCCAAATGGCCGTCAACGGCCTCAACAATCACGAATGTGCAACAAGTTTCGACAATGATCAAACTTGTTGCTTAGAACCACCTTATTGAGCATATCCGTCGGATTATACTTCGTGTGAACCTTCATAAGCTCCACATCGCCATCTTCAAGAACATCTCGAACGAAGTGATAACGAACGTCAATGTGCTTCGTCCTCGTATGAAAAACCTAATTCTTCGCCAAATAGATAGCACCCATGCTATCACAATGAATAGTGATGGACCACTGCGATATACCAAGTTCCTCCAAAAGCCCTCGAAGCCAATAGCCCTTCACAGCCTCCGTAATCGCCATATACTCTGCCTCCATCGTCGTCAAAGCCACCGTAGACTGTAAGGTGTATCTCCAACACACCGGTGCACGAGTCAAATTGAACACATACCCTGTAGTAAACCGATGTTTATCCAAATCAACGGCATAATCCGAATCAACATAGCCAATGCACAACTTCCCACCTGTAGTGTCCCGTTCGAAAACTAAACCAACATTGAGTGTACCTCGAATGTACCCCAAAATCCATCTCACGGCGTCCCAATGACCCACTCCTAGATCGTGCATGTATCTCGAAACCATGCTCACCGCCTGTGATAAATCTGGCCTCGTTCATACTATCGCGTGTATCAAGCTTCCAACCACGCTCACATATGGAGTCTTTGACATCAACTCTCAATCTTCAACTACCTTCGGTGAGAGGTCAACTGAAAGCTTTAAATGGGCTCCCAAAAGTACACTAACTGATTTCGTATCCATGCTAACATGAAATCACTGTAGAACCTTCTTCAAATAAGTCACATGTGTCAAACAAATTTTGTCCTTTTCTTTGTCTCTGTAGATATCCATCCCTAAAATGTGCTTACCCTCACCCAAATTCTTCATCTCAAATTCCTTTGAAAGCTGTGCTTTCAACTCATCTATAGAAGACCAGGAAATAGAGGCAACCAATATGTCATCGACATAAAGCAACAAATAGATATACGCACATCCTCTCAACTTGCAAAAATACATGCAAGTATCAAACTGGTTCCGAGTGTACGAATGACCAAGCATAAACCCATCAAATCGCCTCTACCACTGTCGAGAAGACTGCTTCAAACCGTATAGCGATTTTTTCAACCTGCAAACCAGGTTTTTCTTCCCTGCAGCTCGGAATCCCAATGGCTGAGTCATATATATTTTTTCATTAAGATCACCATGAAGAAATGTTGTCTTCACATCCAACTGATCTAACTCCAATTCATAATTTGCCACCAAAGCTAGCAAAATCCAAATCAAAAAATGCTTCACCACTGGAGAGAAAACCTCATTATAATCAATTTCTTCCTCCTGTGCATAGTCCTTCGCAACCAACCTAGCTTTGAACCTCACTGGAGTGCCTTTAATGCCCTCCTTCTTCGTGTATACCCACTTGCAATCAATTACCTTCCGCCCCTTTGGAAGCTCAACAAGCTCCCATGTATTATTCTTGTAAAGAGACTTCATCTCCTTCTGTATAGCCACCTGCCACGAATCAGCCTCCAAACTCTGCTCGGCCTCTCTGAATGTAGTATGCACTAACTCATCGATACTCTCCACTGGAAGTGCATATGCAACTACTGTGTCGGTATATCGTGTTGGCATCTGTATATCTCTCCTCTGTCTCCGAACCGTAATAGAATCCTGAACCTGAGCCGTCGGTCCCTGATCCTGCACAACTGTACCCATATCCTCCTCGTCATCACCGTGCTCATATGGCGTCACCTCAGTCGGTACTCTAATGGATACTGCACCATCTGGATACTGAGGAGCTGCATCAATCTTCACCACCTGTGATATCTCCTCTGTCGGGTCGCTCTCCACCTGATGAGAGCTGGAAAGCTTTAAGATAAAAGTCTCATCAAATGTGATGTCCCTACTTAGTACAATCTTTCTATCAACTGAATCACATAGCTTGTTTCCTTTGACACCACGCTTGAATCCTATAAATATGGCATTCCTAGCTCAAGGTTCCAACTTATCAGTCTTCACATGATAGTATGTAGGGCACCCAAATACCTTGAGCTGGTCATAATCATGTGCTAACTCTTCTGACCACATCTTCATAGGGGTCTTCACCTCAATCGCAGATGAAGGCAGCATGTTAATGAGGTGACTCGCATATAAAAGTGTCTCAGCCCAAAAGATCTTCTCCAAACCACTATGTACCAATAAACATCGGATCTTCTCCAATAAAGACCGATTTAACCTCTCTGTCACCTTATTCTGCTTCGGTGTATGACTAACTGTGAAATATCTCTCTATGCCCTCGTCTCGACATAGCTGTAAAAAGGGGTCTGATGTGTACTCACCGTCGTTGTCGGATCGTAACGTCTTGATCTTTTCCCAGTCTGCAGTTCTAACCTCTACTTCCACTCCACAAATATATCTAGGACTTTACTCTTCTTCACCATGGTGTAGACCCAACAACGCCTAGAATAGTCATCAACGAACATGACGAACTAATATCGGCCACCAAGTGATGCAGTCTTGATGGGACCTTAAATATCTGTGTGCACATAATCCAGGATACCTCTCGTCCTATAAATGGTTGTTCCAAACTTCACATTCGTCTTCTTGCCAAGTACACAGTGCTCACAAAATTCAATTTTTTTACTCTTGGCTTTCTTCAATAGCCCTTGCTTACACAAAGACTGTAGTGATTTCTTTCCTGTGTGCCCCAACCTGTAGTGCCAAAGTCTGCTAATATCCACCTCTGAAATAGCTGAAGCAACATGGCCAATCTCGATGCTCCTCTTCAGATAATATAAGTTCCTGTTAGACCCTAGAGAGGGGGGTGATTAGGGTCTTATGCTAATCTAATCTAATTTTATGCCAATTAGAACTAATTAACAAATTATTCTTGCAAGAGAGATATACAATATGTTACAAGTAAGAATAACCAATATGAACAAAGAGCAATATCCTAGCAATGATATATACTATGAGATATATGCGAGGATATACAATGAACACAAAGGTAAACAATCTAAACTAGATAGTGGGCAATATAAACAACAAGCAATATACAAACGATATGATCACGGAGTTCGGATCTTCCGTCGTACGTCTCCGCTCCCCACTCCCAGGGAGAAATCCACTATCACAACCGGGTTTTCTACGCTCACCCGAATAACGTTTATAGCTCACACTCGGTTTTCTAGCTAACCGAAAACTTTACAATCACCACTCTTGCAATCCCACTCTACACCCTCTCAAGTGTTAGACTTAGACGTGTCTCCCTCAAGTGTTCGGATACAACCTCTCCCTAGGTTCGTCAACCGACGCCACTCCTCTTGGGACGATCCCTGACTCTCGCCACATACTTCTCTCAGTGTACAAGTGTATTACAAAGTGATCCTCACAGTAAGCATAATTACAATAAATGATTGTTCTCTAATATGGATGAGAACACAATGAAAGCTCACACTCAATTGTTACAACTCTCACCAATCCAAATATAC